CCTTGCTCTCGCGTCAGCCACGTGCTCTTCATCTTTGGGCCTGATCGCTTGGAGGAATTCTTGAGGAATTTGTGAGAAAAAAAACACTGTTCCGGATAAAAAAAGATACGGATCAAGCCGGATTTAAGGGCACGAGAAAAACACTGTCGCTGGAATCTGATGCCCAGTTGGCACCACGCACGTAGTGCACCTCATCTGTGTTGTCCTAGCGATCCATCGCATGCAGCAGCGTGGCGTCGTGGAGCGAATCGGTGGTGCTACGACGTGGTAGCACGACGATGTGGAGCTACTTGCAGCACATCGGTGTTGCTCCTAAATCGGACTATTAAATTTATACGATTATCGCGCTGCTCTAGAAAGACGGTGGTAGTATCCAATAGACATGAGTATTTATACTGGTTCAGGCCGGAGCCATATGTCCCGTCTCAGAGAAGATCGAGTGCGTGTTTCTCGCTTGAATGCTCTGAAGTTCTTACAATGGGGGATGCAATAATGGTGAAAGAGGTGGTAGAACCTATTCTAGACGAGGGATAGCCCGAAGAGAAGCTCCAGGAGCCCTACTGCTATGGATGGAATGGTAGAGGATGAACAAATGTCAAGATGTTCCGAGATGGGAGCCCTGGCCGCCCTTATATAGAGTCCGGGGCTAGGGCTCGTTACAAAGAGAAGGTTCTCCCGACCGAAGGGTCGAGAGCCTGAGGGAGGTCATAACTAACTTGGCTTGCAAGCTACGCCGTCTTTTTATGCTTGCCCGGGCGTGGCTGTCGTCATGGTCTTGTGGCCATGTCGCGGCAGGGTTTGACGTGGTGCTACTGTGCTGGCCGTGGCAGCACTGTAGCCGTTGTGATAGTTCGTCAGCTGTCCTGTGCAACGTGGCATCCTTCATGGTCTTCGCCGTTGTCTCTAAGTTCCCCGGGACGTCGTACACATAGTAGATAGCCGCCCTTGGTCGTCGTTCGCCTGGTCGCTTCATGAGGCTGAGGGCCACGACACCTATCGTTGGGGTCAGGGCTCTTCGCAAGTTGAGATGGTCTCTAGGTTGAGACCCTTGTCATGGATCCCATCCCGTAGTGGTTGGGATCATATGCGCGTCCTGTCGGTCCGTATTCGGATGTTGGGTTTCGTACCCGTTGCCACCGTTGTGTGGTGCTATCTCGTTGGTGTGGCGTGGCATAGGGGTGGCGTTTGATCGGACCGAGGTGACTGTTGTCCCCTCGATCCTTGTGAGGTCAGTGCGGCATGCCTGCTCTTGTCAGAGCAGACACACTGAGCTCCCCATTCTGCCCCAGGGGTCGTGACGGGAGAGAGGTCACGTGTCTTCCGTGTGGCTAAGGCAGGAGAAGAGGTCGTGGCCGACCCTGGGCTAGGCGTTGGTTCGGCGTGCTCATCCTAGCTGGGTCTCGGTCGTTCGGGTCATTGTTAACCCGATGAGTTGCATGCCGCGTGGCCTGCCAACTAATCGGCGCCTTGAGACACCCCGGGGTCATAACCCCGACAGGAGTGGACAGAGTCGTATTTGAGGATAACGGAAGGAGGATCACGTCGTAACTCTGCATGCCATACAAGGCGTTGCTCGGGAATAAGCCCGAGAGGAAACGCGAGGGACCACTTTAGACGATGTAGACTCTAAAAAACACATTTTTCTCAAAGGATGTCGATTCGTGGACGGAGGGAGTATATAAGTATTTTAACAACTCATGCTTCAAAATAGCCAAATAGCATAAAGGTATAGTTCTCACTAGGTTCGTGCCCGTGTGTTGCTACGGGACAACTAAACTTTTATACTAAAAACACACGGATCGCACGATAAGGTAACAATACTGTGAAATTAAATATCGATGCTAAAGTGACAATTAATCCAAAAGGCAAAGTTCGTGAAATTAACACAGTCACGGAAGAGCTCGGTGTCGCAGGCTCACAAATGCTATGCACAAGCTGCCGTATATATAAACTTAAATATAATATTCGAGTAAATATAAACATGTTCTTGAAATGTAAATCTAACAAAAAATATATAACTAAAAATCACATGGACCGTCGGATCAAGCCAACTAAATATATGAACCGTGAAATCGGTTCGGGTCTTGCCCGTTAAGCCCCACGCACGGGTAGTCGTGAATCGTACAGAACCCGCTTGTCCCTTGGGCATGCTCCGCCGAGCTCCGCCTCCTGCTGCGGCGCGCATCTCCTCCTCCAGTCCTCCTGCTCGTCCCTTTGTCTACCCCGTCTCCCGCACTCCACCCTCACCGCCCGTCACCCATGCCCCCAAAACCTAACCATAGCGGCAGCCCGAGGCGGCGGCGTCAGGCACGGCGCGAGGAGCAGCGCGGGCGGCAGCGGCAGCAGCGCGCGCATGCCGCGGTGGTGACGGCGCTCACGCAGGATCTCGCGAGTCGGCACCGCCGTCCCTACAAATTATTTAGTATGTGCACTTGTACAATGGACTTAATTCTACAAATAAACATAGCGCATGAGAAGAGATGAATCACCTTTGCTATGGTTGAGATGGAGTCGATGGCGTACTTGTATTAACTCCAAACACTCGAGGTGGCAGAAAATTATTTATTACTACAAGTAAACAAAGCTCATTCTGAATAAACATAGATATATTTATCGCAACAATAGTTGCAGAATGGATCATGATTACAAGTTTAACTAAATCAAAATAAATTACATTGATAACTTGTTGCAATTTATTACTAAACCAAGGAATAATACAGACTACTTATGGTATACAAAGAATTGGAAAACACTGATTCAATGCTGGAAAACTCGGTTAGCTCCGCATTGGAACTTGTTGAAGCACAAGCTTGCTGCTTAATTTAATGGTTTGCTCGGCACAGGAATTCCTTGCTTTAACCCTGGTCTCTTCTTGCTCTTTGCTTTTATGGTTAGCTCGGCACAATAATTTATTGCTTTAGTTGTTAGCTCTACATCAAGAATTTGTAAATCATTGAACCAAGCATGCAGTCTTGAATAACCTTAATTTAAGTCTCTTGTGAAATTTTACTTAAACTTGGATGGCACTTGACCAAATCTATAAAATATGGAGCGTTGAACGAACAACAAAAGATCATGAGATCGAACAATCTATCATTTCAGTGTATAGAATATAATCAATATAAAATAAGTAACTTAATTTATAGAGGCATTTTATGAAATATAGGTAAATGTCCGTGAGTTGCAACGGGAGCGTGTGTCTGTTATCTAAAAGATATACTATCATGATGTTGGTAACATCAATATCAATATTATATAAGTCTTCATAAAATATATTGTACAGCTAAGAATGTAGTATCTCAATAGTTCTACGAGGCGAACTTGTTGCTCTATGTGTACTATTGGTTGGCTAATTCTACTTAGTATTCCATAGTGTCATGATTAGATGACTAAAACCATAATGAAAATTAGATATTAATAAAGTCTACAATTTTATAAAAGGAGTTTTCAGAGTTTCGATGACTTCAACTGCTACTGCTAAATTTTTTACTATATATCAAACCACAATATGATATTGAATTACCATCTGCTGACAAAGATTCCAACTGCTACTGCTCAATTTTCTACTACTATCTCATGGTGAAAAATAGTGTAGATGTCCAACGCACGATGATGCAAGCAAGTATATTATAGATTGATGACAACATATAGTGGTAGATGGAAACATGCATGCAAGACTGAAAGGAATAACTTCAAGTAACAAAACTGCAAAATTGAATTTGTCGGACAGGAGTAGTGGTAGATCTAGGAATACCTAAAAATGAAGTTACTCTGAGATGCAAGTGAACTTACCAGGTTTGCGAATTCATGAATGACTAAAAGACCCAAATTGTTTGCTGCTTCACCATCTGTCCAGTTTGTCTTGACAAATCCAAATCCTGAAACAAAGAATGCACCACTGAAAAACCACTCAACAGTATGATGACGATGTACAGTACATCTGCATCACTGAAACCCATACTGATAGAGCACCCGACACAAACTAAGCATTTCAATGCAACAAGCAAATGGATTTGGTTGCATCACGACTTCACGAGTCACGCCCGTCGGGGGCGCCGCTGCGAGTACACCGGCGCTAACCAGAAGCACGGCGCCCTATACCTGTTGGTGGTCAGGAGCACCTCCACGACCTCGATGCGCCCGGAGGTCAGTGTGCCCACACCGTGCCATGGCATAGTACACGGTGTTGGGCCTCATTATGGACACAACCGGTGGGACGCGACCACGAGCATGATGGGGGCGCTGATGTCTTGGCCGCCTCCACATCTCCCCGCAATCGCGTTGAGCACGCGCACCACTAACCCTTCTCCCGAGGGGCACGGGTGGACCAAACTCCACCGCATCACTCGCAGAGAAACCGGAAGCGAACATACGACAGCTAGCATCACATGCTGCACTCTGCAGACAGCTTTCCTCACGATGTTAGAAGTGTGGTGAGCTACCATCCCCAAATTCACGTGCTCGCCATCAACCAAATCATCATCACCTCTCGAGAACCCTATCAAGATCCAAACACAAAAAAACAAAAAAAAACATGCTACGGTGCTAGCAATAATAATAATCTCTATTAATTAATCATGTACCGCAACCAACAATCCTCACGATTGGCCCTCGCCGTGATGGCTACCTACTCTACTCTAGGGTGAGGAAGCGGTGTGAAGGCCGACTCCTTGATGGAGTTGGGGTCCTTGGGCCTATCCGGAAGAAGGCGTGTCGCTTGTGGGGCATCTTTATGCGGCTCGATCTCCCCGTCCCCACGTTGCGCTGTTGCTGCGCCGCCGCCGCCACAGACGCCGGCCGCGTGGGCGGAAGTCGCCCAAGCCCGACGACGTGATCGCCACGCAGCGAGCATGCGAAACCGCCGCCATCTGCGATGCCGACATCAACGGCGGGTCCACCCAAGAAGTCGTCGTCGATGCCGTACCGCCCGCCACAGATGAAGGACCACATCGCCTCGTACTAGTGCCGCCTCGCCGGGTCCGTCGTCTCCCCGGCCACTGCTACTTCCCCCAGAAGTAAGGGTCCGAGAACAGAGCCCGTGATGGTTGCGCCGCCATCCGATCGCCGCCGCCCTCCTGCGTGCCCCGCGCGCATGGCCATTTTGTGTGCGATGTTGGCGTCAGACTTTGTCCCCGACGACGAAGAGCCGGGGCAGGTTGGCCGATCCGCAGCCCACGGCTCCGGCCGGACGCGGCGTTACGGGCTACCACCCAGATTGAGCGTCTGCGCCATGAGTCGTTGTACGCCGTCGGCATCCGGTGCTCGACGCCAAAGCGGTACTCCACGGATACCGCCACCATGCGCGCCTTCGCCGCCACCCCGTTTAGGTACGCGTGGTACAGCGCCGTGAACGCCGACTCGATCACGAACGCGCCGCCGTGGTAGAACACCATCACCGGGTGCCTGCCCAATGAGCGAGGATGAGGGAGGCCGCGCGATGGCGATGACTGTCGCCCGAGATGGATGAGTCACAGGTTGAGGGAGGCTACGAGATTTCCTTCCCGAGATGGCGAGGCGCGTTGTTTCCTTCCCGAGATGGCAAGGCCGCGAGGTTTCCTTCCCGAGATGGCGAGGCGTTTGCGCGAGGTTTCCTTGCGTGAGGCGTACCTGACTATCTGAGCCGCGGTATCGCAAGGGAGGGAAGGGTGACCAAAAAAAAAAAGTCTGTCGCACCAAAAAATTGTCTTACTTTAGTTCTTTTTAGTTGTAGGAGATTAGAACCGTAAGACTTTTAGCAATATGTGGAGCTTAGAAAATAATGGGTCCCATTGCTCGAAAAAGGCATCATTATCCCAAGGCTGCAGCGTGATGGCATTACTAGCGGCGACCAACAACTTTGCTGCAGTTTGTCCTTATCAGAGTTAGCACCGAGGCAAGTACTTGTGCCGCTCTCAAAATTTCTAGCATCGGCATCACTTGTTGCAGTGCCAGAGCGGTTCACAAACATTCTCTCTCCACTTCAAGCTTCAATCCAGGTTAACACTGCGGAGGGCCTAACCGCCTAAGCAATTAAGATGGGTTTACAATAGTTTTAGCAACGATTGTCCAAGTGTTTTTTTTTTGGCTATGACTGATGTAGTTTTTATAGTTTGTTTTGTTGTTATTTTCTCCCCACGTTTAGCCTACATGGTTATTCTCTTGTATTTTCTACTACTTTATTATTAATTTGCAAATGAATATTGTCTGGTTCCTAGCTCATTTCAAAGGAAAAAAATGTCTTGTTCTCGTTGACGCCCAAAGAAGACGGAGTAATCACATTGCCATTGCAGTATCCAAGATAATTAGCTTATCCAATGTTGAAAGCAAATGACACGTCAGTGCAAGCTCGCTCCCTTACCCTTTATCCAGATCTTTTCCCGCCTACAATGAAGAACAAAAGAAAAGATAAAGATATTTATCTCCTGGGCCCACCTGCCATCAAAAAAATTCCAGCCCACCACACCAGCAACAACAAAAGGCTATAAAACGGGACACCCCACACACTGACACACGGGCCTGCAATTTTTACGCCTAACCGCTTCCAAGTTAATTGCATTCACGACCCACCCCCCCTTCTTCTTCTCTCTCCTGGCCACCTCCATCCAATTCCATTTCCACACTCACCTTCCCCGCTATATAAGAACACGCGCCTCGAGCAGAGGGGAGAGAGCGTGCAGAGCGAGACGCGTCCGTCGCCTCTCCCCCCCTTCCCCCACCCCGCCGCCGCCGCGCGTCCGTGCGTTCGTTCCCCGCGTAGGGTTAGGGTTTGGCCTTCCGCCGGCGCGCCATGGCGATCCTCTCGGCGCTCGCCACCGAGGTGTTCATCCCCGTCGCCGCCGTCATCGGCATCGCCTTCGCCGTCGTGCAGTGGGTGATCGTGTCGCGGGTGAAGCTCTCCCCGGCCGCGGCCGCCGCGTCCGGCGGCGGCGGCAAGAACGGCTACGGCGACTACCTCATCGAGGAGGAGGAGGGGCTCAACGACCACAACGTCGTCGTCAAGTGCGCCGAGATCCAGAACGCTATCTCCGAAGGTGAGCCCGGGGATTCCTCAGATCTGGGGGCTGCCGCTCGCTGGGTCCGCTTAGATCCACGCATTTCGCGCTGCTCTGGCGCGTTTGCCAACCGAGGATTACGTTCTTAGTATATTTGTCGTTTATTATAGGATAGATATACACACGTTTCTCGAAAAATTGAGATCTTTGCGGGGGGTAAAAGGTCCAGACTTTTGTTATCCGTTAATTTATTTAGTGGATTTCACGCTGATCTGGCCGTGAAGTTCCTAATATCAGGATGTGTGCCTGGGTGAGCTCAAATGCCATTCTATTTTTACCCTCTTCGGGGACCATAGCTTACTGGCTAGACATCACAGAATGATGTTTTTCTTTGGACTGAAACGAGTTTCAGACTGCATGTTTTCTACGGAATGGAAGACAAATATCTCTGTGGGGGGTGTTGGTTCCTCTGTGGGGGCTGCCAGTTGCTGTACTACCCCTTCCCCCCTCCAGAGTCCAAACTATGTACTTTTTATGATAATTTTGGTCACTACTGGCACCTGTCCCAAATGTGGATTTTTTCAAATGGGGGTTCATGTGATATGTTACTGTTGTTTTGCTGGTATTCGGTTCACGGGTCCCAAGTGGGGCTGGCAAATAATTCCTTTTTCTCACCCCTTGGAAGTGTGAATCTGGGCTTTGGCTTTGGATGCTTGTAGTGGGTGATGGATCTAGGCTTTGCTGAAGAGTTCTTTTAATGCCTTGCGGTGTTCTTGCTCTGTGTCGGTGCTGCAGTAAAGGTGTAGCTTTCAGTTGACAAAAAAATGTTCTGATCTCGCCTGGCCCCTTGCTTCTAGACCAAAACTTGGTAATGGAAGGTGCGTGATGGATCTGTAACAAACTTTATATGTGCACACGTAGCAAGTTGGGCAGGGCACCATTTGGTGGACTTGAGCTACCATTTATTTAATCAATACATGGGATCCTATGTCTCTAGTGCTAGGTAGATCTGGACCTGGAAGTTCCTGGGTAAGGGATGGGGATTCTCTGCCATCTGTCACTCACGTGTCGCTTGTTCACTGACCTCTGAGCTTCCCATTTAGATCAGCATGGATGGCCTAGTGCTCATCAGATACATGCCCCCATATGTGGGGTTTTGTTTTAAGCGTGTCACCAATCTTTGACCGGATGTGCTATTTTCTATGATTGAGATGGGGACACAGGAAAATAAGCACTTTTGGAGTTATCTGGTCGGGGTGCCATGAGTTTGTTACTTCCCTGTGTGGTTGACAAATGGATGTTGGATGTGTCAGTCTGTATTAGGCACTAGTTATTTATTTGCTGATACTGGAAAGATAAAATTGGACCAATAGTTTTGGTGTTCTTTCTGATCTTGCTTGACTAGTGTGCTATTGTATTGTGCATAGTTTGCATGGGCAGCGCAATATAATCTTGTGTGGTGTTATATTTACATCCTAGTGACCCTAACCATATAACTGATGTCTAACAATTGTCTTTTCTTTTATGGACAGGAGCAACATCGTTTCTTTTCACTGAGTACCAATATGTTGGTATCTTCATGTCTATCTTTGCTGTTGTGATCTTCCTCTTCCTTGGTTTCGGTTGAGGATTCAGCACGAAGAGCCAGCCCTGCACCTATAGCAAGGACAAGTACTGCAAGCCTGCACTGTTCACTGCACTCTTTAGCACTGTGTCGTTCTTGCTTGGAGCCATCACGTCTTTGGTATCTGGTTTCCTTGGCATGAAGATTGCCACATATGCGAATGCCAGAACTACCCTGGAAGCTAGGAAGGGTGTTGGCAAGGCTTTTATCACTGCCTTCCGCTCTGGCGCTGTTATGGGTTTCCTGCTTGCATCAAGTGGGCTTGTGGTTCTGTACATCACCATTAATGTATTTAAGTTGTATTACGGTGATGACTGGGAGGGTCTTTTTGAGTCCATCACTGGTTATGGTCTTGGTGGGTCATCCATGGCTCTCTTCGGAAGAGTTGGTGGAGGCATCTACACAAAGGCTGCTGATGTTGGTGCCGATCTTGTTGGAAAGGTCGAGAGGAACATTCCTGAGGATGATCCTAGGAACCCAGCTGTAAGTTTTCTTGACATATAGTGTTCATTTTAGGACAATTCTAGGAGCTATACAATCATTAATACATGGCATTTCCTTCCCTGAACTTTTAAATCTTATTTTGCAGGTGATTGCTGATAATGTCGGTGACAATGTTGGTGACATTGCTGGAATGGGATCTGATCTCTTTGGGTCATATGCTGAGTCTTCCTGTGCTGCCCTTGTTGTTGCGTCTATTTCATCTTTCGAATCGACCATGATTTCACTGGGATGTGCTACCCACTCCTTGTTAGCTCTGTTGGTATCATCGTCTGCTTGATCACCACCCTTTTTGCTACTGATTTCTTTGAAGTCAAGTCTGTGAAGGAAATTGAGCCTGCACTTAAGAAGCAGCTCATCATCTCCACCGTCCTGATGACTGTTGGTATTGCTGTAATCAGCTGGTTGGCCCTTCCAGCTAAGTTCACCATCTACAACTTCGGTACTCAGAAGGAGGTCTCCAACTGGTATGCTTTTTTTTTTTGTTAACCTTTGCCATTTATTTGTAGAATGGAATGTACCGTCTTGACAACTGCCATATCTTTCCAGGGGCTTGTTCTTCTGTGTTGCAATTGGTCTGTGGGCTGGTCTGATTATTGGTTTTGTCACAGAATACTACACTAGCAATGCGTACAGGTTCGCATCCTACCAGTCTCTATTATGTTTTTCTTGTTATCATTTCTTTGTGATGGTGTTTTAATCCTAACATGTTTATTCTGTGGCAGTCCTGTGCAAGATGTCGCCGATTCGTGCAGAACTGGTGCTGCCACTAATGTCATTTTTGGTCTCGCTCTTGGATACAAGTCGGTTATCATCCCGATTTTCGCTATCGCTATTAGCATCTATGTCAGTTTCTCCATTGCTGCAATGTACGGCATCGCAGTTGCCGCTCTTGGTATGCTGAGCACAATCGCAACTGGTCTTGCTATTGATGCTTATGGTCCCATCAGTGACAATGCTGGTGGTATTGCTGAGATGGCTGGAATGAGCCACAGAATCCGTGAGAGAACTGATGCTCTTGATGCTGCTGGCAACACAACTGCTGCTATTGGAAAGGTAAAAATGCTTTTTATTCATTTGTTGGCTCAACTTGTTCATTTGCCACTGTCATTATTGGCACTGTTGGTAGGTTATGTATTCCTTAATATTTTAACATATGAGAATGAAGTAGTAGGTAGAAGATAACAAAAGAAGTAAAGAACCATTGTACTCATTTATTAACTTAATTCATCTGTATCCCTATGTAGTAGTAATAGATAGTAATCTGCAACAAAAGAACAATTGTACTCCCCTGGTAACTTAATTCATCTGTATCTCTTTGCAGGGATTTGCCATTGGTTCAGCTGCTCTTGTGTCCCTGGCGCTTTTTGGCGCCTTCGTCAGCAGAGCTGGAGTGACGGTTGTCGATGTCCTCTCCCCGAAGGTTTTCATTGGTTTGATTGTTGGAGCCATGCTTCCCTACTGGTTCTCTGCCATGACCATGAAGAGTGTTGGAAGTGCCGCCCTGAAGATGGTGGAGGAGGTCCGCAGGCAGTTCAACACCATTCCTGGGATAATGGAGGGAACTGCCAAGCCCGACTATGCAACCTGTGTGAAGATCTCCACTGATGCTTCCATCAAGGAGATGATTCCTCCGGGTGCTCTGGTCATGCTCACTCCCCTCATTGTTGGAACCCTCTTCGGTGTTGAGACTCTTTCTGGCGTTCTTGCTGGTGCCCTGGTTTCTGGAGTGCAGGTGCGCGCTTTGCCTTCTACTCTTTGTTCACTTCAATGTGTTTGCTTGTTCTAGGGTTTATGGATTTCTGCTTTCGACAGATTGCCATCTCTGCTTCCAACACCGGTGGTGCATGGGACAATGCCAAGAAGTACATTGAGGTGAATGTCCTGAAAAAGTCTCATTGAACACCATGTCTGTTCATCTATGGTCAGTGCTAACTTTCTCCTCAATTTCACCCTCTGCTTGTTTCAGGCTGGTGCCAGCGAGCACGCGAGGACCCTTGGCCCCAAGGGATCTGACTGCCACAAGGCTGCTGTGATCGGTGACACCATTGGTGACCCCCTGAAGGACACCTCGGGCCCGTCCCTCAACATCCTCATCAAGCTCATGGCCGTGGAGTCCCTCGTGTTTGCCCCCTTCTTCGCCACCCAAGGTGGCATTCTGTTCAAGTATCTGTAAGGGGCACACCAAGCACAGCAGAAGTATACGATCAACCGACCGTGGACATCTCGAATAACTCCTGCCAAATCGCCAGTTCTTGTGTATTGTGCGCTAGCCGTCTAGCTGCACTGCTGTTTTTTTAGTCTGTTTCAGGATTGCTGCTGCTGTTTGTATTCTCTCTTTGGGCCTCCTGGAGGCGTTACTGTTAGCCTTACTCTTACTCCCTGTAGCTCCACGTAGAAGAGAACAGATGTCCTGCGTCTGGCAAATTTTCCCAGTCCCTTCGATGATGGCGATGATGTTGAAATCTTTGAACAATGATACATGATTGTTGCATTGTACTGGTGGTAACTCTGTATTGCTCTGTTGATGCCCATTCTAATCATCCAATGTTATGCTCTGCGTTATTGCGGAATACGAATGCTGTTTGTATACTCTCATGGTTGCTGCCGACAAGTTCATAAAAGAACCCAAGGCCCTGTTTGGATTGGACATAAGTGTTTGGAACGGAGGAATGAAGTTTTCCTTTTCTATGAAAATACTTGCTTTTCATAAAATGGAGGAAATAAAACATCCACTCTAAACTCTAGGAAATTTTTCCTACATGTGAATGGAGGGATGATAAGTCCTTGTTCGATAGAATGGAGGAATAAACATGTCTTATGTTCTCGTGTTCCAACCACCCGTTCCTATAAAATTCATGTGTTTTTCAATCCTTTATTTATTTTCAACGTACACACGTTTCATATTCCTGTGTTTTATTCATTTTCTCTGTTTTGAATTTCTCTTTTCCAAACAGACCTTGAAACTTGAAGTCAAATCAAATTCTCCTTTTTCTCGGTGCACCACAATATTCTGGAATTTCTTTGGTTCCAAGCAAAGTTCTTCTTAGATGCTTTCCATTTTTGCTTTTGAAAAGTTGATACTTTCCTTGAACTCAGCAAATTTCGCCAATACCACTCTCAAATCTGTTTCACTCGTGTTTCCAGCCATGAACTGAAAGACAATGGGAACGAGCCTTTCCCCTTCCCATCGTTGTTCATCATAATTTCTTCAACCTTCTACAATTCTAAGAATAAAAAGAAAACAAACTCACCCTTGAATTGCATCCCTTTTCTTTCGACAGATGCCTTGTACCTCATTTCACCTCATCTTACCAGATGGAAAGCTTAGCTGTCCATCATCACCAATCACGCCAAACCCATTATGAATCTACTACCCATCTAGCTACTACTCTAACTACATGCCGGGGCATTGAAATGTGAAATGCGAGCGAACACGATCGAGTACGGTGCCACAGCGATGGGCTGTGCCGCATCCACCTTGACAGCCTCCAGTGTCGGGATGTTCCCCGCCGCGTCGGTGGCCAACGCCCTGCCGTTCAGCAGCATGACCTGGCTCCTCAGGTTGCAATCCTTGGGGGTGAGATGGTACTCATCTCTCACGGCGCCGGCTGCCTCGTCGACGCCGGTGAAGCTGGGGCCGTGGACGTGCCGGAACTTCCTGCCGCCGACGTGCTTCCTTGCGCCATGCTTGTGCGCCGCCACCATCCCTTGGGTCGTCACCGTCACTGAGACCTGGGTCGTCGTGTTGCCGCTGAGGTTGATCAGCAGTAGAGTGATTCCTGGCTGGACGAGGAGGACGCACGCAGAGTAAAGATTGAGCGTGAATTCTTTAGGAGATGAAGGTTTTTTTGGCTGCCGATGTGATGTTGCTGATGAAATAGGTACTGAATTGCTTACTGAATCTCTTGCGCAGTGCGCATATGCGCGGATCTTGTTCGTGCCGCTGAATGTTGTTGCTAGAACTTTGGTTCCCATGAGGCGATGCCACAGTAAAGCACTGCACAGAAAGTTGGGAGGAATTCTGTCATTGAAGTGACAAATTGGCAACTTTGTTTTTCTTTTTTGTTCTGCAAGATCAACCTTTTTAGCAATTGGGGGTAGTTCTATGCATTTAGGACAAAGGATTATATCTTGTTCGATGCATCCAATCTTCTTGTACTCCAGCACAAGACAAGTTCTTTTCGCCGGTACAAGGCTAAGTTTTTCGTCAAGTGTTTATACCTACTATACTACTTTAGCCATTAAGAACATTATGTATTTTTACCTGTAATAGTCAGGGTTTGGTTGGAACGTTGTGGTATTTAGCAGGCCGTAGTTGCCACCAATCAAACTCTGTCTGCAGTAGCTCTTTGTGTCATACTTTGCTGACATCCCAAGCTGATCTAAAAACCTTGAAAAAAAAAATCACCAAAACGAGCTCAAAAACATATCCAAGAACAGCTAAACAGAATTCGACACCGGAGAACTTGTTAGCTTACCAGAAGCTGAACACAAATGCATCAGTGACAAGGTGCCGTCCGCTGTTGTAAGCGCCTCCAGCTTCCCCAACCCATGCGACGGTCGATGTTCCTACGGATTTCAGCATCCCCTGAAGATTGCTGAATGTGCCTATCATTCCGTCGAGGGTTGATGGATTGAGGATCTTGTCAATCAGATGCGTGTCCTTTCCTGCGATGTTCAGTTCAGCAAATTGTTTTTCAGCTCTGTATGCATCAACCAAATTATCCGCAAGTAAATAGCTGTGAGTATACCTGGTCCTAAATTGTAAATGTGGTGGGTGATCACATTCAGTAGATTTGGCTTGGTTTTGTCAATAAGTTGGCTAAACCAGGCTTGGTCAAAGAATCCTCCAGGAGCAAGCACCAATGGTTTTGATGGATTGCTTCGGTATATGTCGTCGATTAGTTTTTTTAGGGCGATCACATCTGCAGCATATTGGTCCGCGCCAACCCGAGTTCCTACTCCAGTACCACTGAGTTCATTTCCTGCATTTTTTATTGAAATTGTAGCTAGTGACTCTAATTTTTTTTTGGAGAATTATTTTCAAAATTGGGGGGACCCAAAATGTTATTTATTATTAGGTATAAAAGCTGTGGATAATTCAGAAATTGGTATTGGGCAGCCTAACCACACATGCTACTGTCCTAAAGATTGGACATGTCACATGTCAACATCAATAATTTCAGAAAACTAGAGAACACTGAAAAGATGTTTGAACAGAAACTCTAGCCCTTCTCTGAAAATAGATAGACATACTGAATAGAGCCTTTCAGAAACAAGTTATGCATTAAAAATTCTCACTTTGAGACCAGGCATATGAAAAGAGACTTTCAGAAACAAGTTATACATCATTAAAAATTCTCACTTTCAGACCAGACAGTAGGGGCATTTCGAACCAACTAGCATGATGAAATGCACAATAAAACAACATACCAAGCTCCCACCCATGAATTCGGTAGCCCTTGTTCGCGGTGTACCGAATCAGTGACGCCGCATTGGTGTAATCCCATGGCCCTCCCACGGATCCATCAGGCAACGGAACGCGGCCATTCAACGCGTTGAGCCCGAACACAATCTTGGCACTGCAACATGCACCGCCCGATGAATTTCTCACAGCCCAAAGAGGAGCACAGAACTGAAAATTCAGTGGCTGAAATCGATGAAAACTCACGCAGATTTCTGGAAGAAGGCGTTGAGCTCGTCCCACCTGCGCAGGGGCAGGCAGCCCTGGGTGAAGCCGTGCATCTCCGACACGTTCTTGGCGAACGGCGCGCACGGCCGCCCGCCGAGGTCCGCGGTGCCGTACACCACCTTGTCCTGCAGCGACCCTCCCAGGCGGAGCACCAGCGGCGGCGAGAAGGCTGAAACAAACAAAATTCACCACCGCATTGGCAAAGAGCTACTGGGATGGGGGATTGGGAGAACCCCTCAATACAGCGGAGCGGCCACGGCCGCCGCCGGTCGTCGCCTACCTCTGACGGCATTGAGCAGGACCTTGTTGGAGAGATCCTGCGCGAGAGGAGAGACAGAAACTGCGCGTCAGCCAGCTGAGCTCGCGTCTCGCGTGTCCTTGGCTTGGACCACGAACAAACAGGGTCTTAATTACGCGGCCGTGTCGTCAGTTGTCACTCACCAGGTTGAGCAGGCCGGCGCGGCCCCAGGCGCAGGTGCCGTAGTCGCACTTGTCCGGCGGCCACCAGTCCAATGTCGCGCACACGAAGTCCTCCCCGGTCGCCGCGACGGCGAGCCGCGCATCGACGGTGGCCACCGACGGCTGCCCGGCCGCCGCAGCGCTGCCCGGCCGCAACAACGCGGCCAGGAACCAGAGACCGCCGAGAAGCCGACCCAGCTGCTGCGTCCCCGCGGCGGCCATGCCAAGAAACCAGGCAATGCTTTGCAGAGCGGAGCAGTGTCGCGGCTGTGGCCAACTAAGCCTAGTGCTGTAGTAGTCCCCGGGGGGCTGGGAGTGGAGAGCACGCGGGAGGAGGTGGCTGCTGCCCTGCCGCCCACCCGCACCTCGGCTAAATAGTAAATGCTAGACGCCAAGGCATGGAGGCAAGCGGCAGAGGCCAAGCCAGAGTGTGGAGCGGGGATCGGAGCCTGACAGCGCGTCGCGGGGCGCGGGACACCTCCACCGTGCGATGCGAGACTTAGACCACTGCTATTCCGAGCTCGCGGGATCCTGTCCATGCACGGTGCGTGACGCGGTAAGCTCGGCGGCCGGGCGGGCCGGCGAAGTCGTTTTTTTTCCGTTAGCGGTTGGCGCGCGGGCGGGCGGTGAGCTCACATACAGTGATACTGCTCAGGTTTTGACTGGGCATCGGCGCGACTGGGCGAGGCCGATGGGTTTTTTCGGGTGAGCCACGGCCACCGTGGTGGTGAGCACTGTAGCCAGCAGCAGCGGTGGCCGGTGGGCGGTGAGGACCGAGGAGTGAGGACAAGGGGGCAGGAGTAATAAAAAAGCGCTACTCCTGGGGATCCATCCGCCGTGTTGTCTTGTTGCTGCAGAGGCGCAGGAGGCAGGCTGCATCGCACGGCCCGGCATGGCGTGGCATGGCACGGCACGGTCCCGTGCTTGCTTTGCTGGAGCGGCAGCAGTCTTTTGGTCTAGGCCTGTGCTGGTGAAAATCGACAACGGGAGGAGTCTGCTGCTTTGTTCCCATTCTTCTTGAG